ATCTCATAAAAGCATACTTTTGCTATATACTATAGATCTGTATTTCTCAACCAGGGTGCCCAGGCACCCTGGGGTGCCCTGAGGTTTCTTCAGGGGTTCCTTTGCAAAATGTCCAAAAACTGCCCAAAACTTGTATACAAGCCAGCGGGTGGAACAAGCCTGCCTTATAGTTACACAAAGCCGCAGGTTTTCATTACGGGAACAGAGATGACCATTAGTGCCTTTTGAATATTACATGCGCAATATTATTGTGCGTCTGGTGAGTGCAAGCACATCTCTTTTTCCATACCACGGATGTCACGAGCACCTTATTATTGTCTACACAAGTTTAATAAGAGAGATCGGTACCCCCAGATTCTGGAGTATTGATACGCCATGTGAATGTCTCAACTTTTTTCCTGTGGACTTTATGTGATAACACGCAATTGTCACCTTATTATATACCGCCTTGAACAAGACATCACGTTGATTTCACCTTGTAGCGCACAACCTTTGCGCTTTATATACCATTTATCACTTTATTATTCATATTATTATTCATATTTTTATTATTCATAATTTCAGGGTTGCATTTTTATATATAGTGATGGAGAAAAACTCAGGGAGAAGAGAAACATTGGAATACTAGTCAGACCAATGTGCAGAAGAGTATTTGCTTTGAAACAATAAATAACGTCTAATGTTGGGTGTCCTACATGTGTGGATGTTGCTGCATTTTACAAAACTATTAGCATAGTTTTTCACATTTTAGAATGGGGTGCCTCGGGACTGTCCATAATTTTAAAGGGTGCCTCGGGACTGTCCATAATTTTAAAGGGTGCCTTGACTGAAAAAAGGTTGAGAAACACTGCTGTAGATGATCTGATCTTCATTGTGGATAGAAGCTTAATATTTGAAGCTATTCTGGTGTATTTGAACACAAATACATTGAACTTAGGGTTTACAGGAGAACAATTGAATGCAATTCATTACCTGGATATCACCCTACAGGGCTCCCTCCAACAACATTGCATAACAATCACAGCATTCAGAAAACCCACATCAAAAAAATTCTTTACTCCACGCATCCAGTTGCCATCCCCTACATGTCAGTTCACCCATCTCAATATAAATTGCTCTTTTACAGAGGAATTTGAAACTGAGGCCAAATGGAATGGGAATATGTTTCTTGAATGTGGCTTTAAAAAATTACTTAGTCAGCCAAGCCTATTGCTTGGTGAGTAAAACACCCAGGAAACTTCTCCTGATTGATAACACTGTTCAACAGGTAAAAAGTTTTGGGCATAAAATTAGCTAATCTTACATAATTTTGGGGTGCTGAAAACGAAAATGACCCTAAAAAATGTTGATTGGCTCTAGTTTCCATGATATATTCACCCATCTAATGACGTAAGCCATTCAAAATTATGATGCAACTTCAGCTGCATATTGCGCAATTGATACTGGTGACCAATAGAAAATTGCATGTATACTGAGATGATGTAATATTAGCCTTTAATTGCATCACTTCACTGCATAAAAGCTGCAGTATCTGTAGCTGATTGTAGTTCGACAGCGTCTTTACATTTCGTTTTATGCTTATATAGGCTACTCAGTAATGCCTCGAACTTGTGTGAATAAAGCTGATAATTTCTGCTATATCTGCGGTGAAATAACTTTTATCTCACAAAAAAGGAGGATAACAGGAATGATTAAGAAAGCCTACAACTTGTATTTTGGCTGCAAGATAGGAGACCAGGACAAGAGCTGGGCACCACATATATGCTGCAATTCTTGTGGGACGGCACTGGAGCAATGGTTGAATGGAAAAAAGGCCTCTATGCCTTTCGCTGTGCCAATGATTTGGAGAGAGCCAACAGATCATGTTAGTAATTGTTACTTTTGTATGGTGCCTCCAATTGTAAAAGGGCTAAATAAGAAGAAAAAGTTATCTGTGCACTATCCAAATATTCCATCGGCAATACGTCCAGTTCCTCATGGAGAGGGGCTACCAATTCCTAAAGCACCAGAATCCTTCGTGGTTGAGTCAAGTGAGGAAGAACCTGAAGCGTGTAGTCACGTGCAGTTGTAAGAGATAGCCCTTTCCTCGAATACAAGAGAAAAGCCAAGGGAAGCAAAACCGACACAAACTGAAGACAAAACTAGTGAGAATCCTAAGTATTAAAATGATTCAACTTAGCTTATGGCTATAATTTTTCTTGGTAATCCTATGCAATATATTATGCCATTTAGGCTTTGTTATGTAGTCAATATCACTTGCTTTATATTTGTGGAAAGACATCTATCTATATAATTATTGTGCATTATGTAGTCATTACGCCTATAGTAGAAAACTTTCCGTTTACAGAAAAACTAGAGCCAATTGACAAATTTCATTGTTATATTTGAACTCAGAATGTGAAATTCATTAAGAAATGGATCCTTTTGTTTCCAAAACTGGCAAAAAATTAAAATTTGTTGAACAGTGTAATAGGGCCTCTAGTTCAAGAAAGGAGAAAAATGTGGCTACTACATCCTTGGCATTTTCAACACCATACAGAAATAAATATCACAGTATAAAACGCATCATTTCTCAGTACTTACCAATACTACATGGTGATCCAGATTATAAAACCATTCTGTCAAAAAATGTGAAGTTTGTGGTTAAGAGGGCAAAAACAATTGGTAATATGGTTTTCTCAGAGTTTGTTTCTCTCCAAACAACCTGAATATACTTTGTTACACACAACAATACTACCCGCTGTTCTAGCTGTCGTTTTACTGGGGATCCTCATATTGTGACATCCTGTGAAAATAAAAAGAGTATAGCATCAAATAACTCGTTAATTGCCACACTCGGTATGTAATATATGTTATCACCTGTTCAATGTGCAACAAGACATCTTTGTGACAGAATGCATGATCATCTATCCAGCATAAAAACTGTTAAAGATACAACATTTCCAAACAATTTAAACTGTACCACAATGCAGACACCAGTTCCCTCAAAATACAAGTCAATAGAGTGAGTAGACTCTCCCACTAGAAGAGGTGATGATTTTTTCTCTCCTCTGTAAAAGAGAAGGTTTTTTGATTTTTAAATTAGAAATCCGTGTTACCGAAAGGATTAAGCTTTGAGTGGGATGTCACTCGCTATTATGAATAATATTGCCATTCCATTTTTCATCTACTCTCCTTTTTCCACTCCGTGTCCTAAATGATGTCTCTGATTAGGACAACAGAGTTCTGGTTTTAGCATTATTAGCATTATTTTTTATTTATTTATTTATATTTACATCATTTTTTTATTTTTCACAATCACAATTTTTACTTTTCAGGATTTGTTTATTTTTATTTTATTTTTCATTACTATTTATTTTGTTTACTTATGGATCATAATAAAGTGTGCATTTTTATTTATATTTTTCTCTTATTTAATTTTTTTTTTTTCACTTACATATTTTTCACTCATCACACTTTTTCTCATATTTTCCACATTTCCATCTTCTTCTTTTTCATTTATTTTATCATATATCCTCCACTCACCTTTTTCTTTTTCTTTGTCTTTTTGTTTGATCATATTTTTAACTTCCTTTTTTCCTCTTATTTTTTATTTTCCTCCTTTTTTCTTTTTTTATTTTATTTTCTTGTTTTTTTCTTAGTTTTCATTACTCTTTTATTGTTTTTTTTTCTCAATCTTAGTTTTCATATAAGGATACTCTGTTGTTAACCACCTTTTACCATGCACTACACTTTTTTCTTACTTTTTCCTCTCCCTCTTCTTATTACATCTTTTTCCCCACCAGAGAATGCAAGGGTATTAGGTGCTAAGGCCTGCTGGATTCAGCTATGCTAAACTTGACCCTTCTACTGACTTATCGCAAGACTAAAAATAGCTATTTGTTGGATATTTCTAAAAACAATTTGTGTTACACATAACTTTATGTGCCTGTTTCCAACTCATCTAGTTTCCATTGAGGATTTCATATAATTCCAAAGATTTCCAGGTGTAAATTTTCTATTAGACACACTCATTCGAAATGCCCCTTCTAGTAAGCTGTATAATCTTCTTGGGTTACTCTCTTTGCAGGCATCAGTTTGTGTTACAGAAAGGTTGATCTCGGATCACATCTGCATTTTTATGGTATATCTCACTCGTTGTAAAAGATAATTTCAGTAGTCTGTTCAATGACCATTTATACTAATAGCCAAAAGCTCTTTCATACAACGTACATGCTAGACATTTTTCTCTTTATTTAGCTTATATCTATCATTGAGAAAACCTCATGTGTAATTATTTGTTGCATGAAAAGGTCACAATCTGACACTTTCAAATAACTGCTAGATTTATGCTCAACATTAGCCTGGAATTTTTTTGCTCTCGATTTGCTTCAAAGCTGAACTTTAGACATTTAAAACAAACAACGTGTATTGCAGGCATGTAGAAACCAAATTAAAGCGGAGCTCCATGCAAAAGGGGAAGTTCCACTTTAAGCCTTTGTCCCCTGCTCCCCTTTGGGGAGTGGGTACCCGAATTTGATAGGTACCCACTTCCCCTGCGAACGCCTAGGCAATTTGAAGCAGAAGTTGTCCCCCCCCCTCCATGTAGTCTTCTGGGACACGTGACAGGTCCCAGAAGACTACGAGGCCAATCACAAAGCGCAGTGCTTCTCACACATGCGCAGTGGGTACCCAGCTCTGAAGCCGGGTGCCCACACTGAAGATGCCAGCGCCAGAGAGAAAAGATGGTTTGTGAAACCAGCCGTGGTGAGGACACAGCTGGACTGAGGGACAAGTAACTGGCTGTATTTTAAAAGTCACCAGTTACAGTTTTTGTAGCTGCTGACTTTTATTTTTTTTTCAGCTGGAACTCTGCTTTAATAAAGAATATTTTAAATGCAACTAGTTTAAGGACTTGAATGTTTCTTGGTATAAGAATTTTGTAATCCTCTATACAGCAAGATTTAGACCTCGAGCGGGAGGACTAGCACCAGGAGCTAATCAGCCTCTGCTACATGCACATATGCCAATAATGCAGGGCTTGAAATTTCCACTCGCCTGTTCGCCAATGGCGAGTGGAAATTATGACGGGGACGAGTATGTCCCCCAGGGCCGTCTTGCTGAGCAGGCTCGGAGCTCAGGACGGATCTTTCAGTGGCACTGGGAGCTGTCAGACTGCTCAATAGCTGAGAGCAGTGAAAGCAAAAGAAGGAGTGTGTGCTGTGCTCTCTGCTTCCCCCTAGAGTGCAGTACCTGGATCTGTGAGTGAACAACGAAGTACTACAACTTTTTATAGTCTGTGTGTGTGCCTACCTAATTTCAACTCACTCTGGTCACATGATCCTCTATATCAGCCAGTGGTGGCTTCAGGGGAGAGGAGAGAGCACTTAACAGCGTGCGTGCATGTTTGTGTGTACATGTGTGTGTGTTTGTGTGTGTCTGTGTATGCATGTACATGTGTCTGTGTGTATGTACATGTGTGTATCTGTACATGTGTCTGCATGTATGTACATGTGTGTGTGTGTACATGTGTCTGTGTGTGTTTGTGTGTATGTACGTACATTTGTCTGTGTGTACATGTGTCTGTGTATGTATGTACATGTGCCTGTGTATGTATGTACATGTGCCTGTGTATGTATGTACATGTGTCTGTGCATGTGCATTTCTGTGTATGTACATGTATCTGTGTGTATATGTGTCTGTACGTGCCTGTGTGTGTATACATGTGTCTGTATGTGTGTGTGTACATGTGTCTCTGTGCGTGTGTATACATGTTTCTGTATGTGTGTGTGTGTGTGTGTGTGTGTGTATGTACATGTCTGTGTGTGTGTACAGGTGTCTCTGTTTGTGTGTGTGGTTTTTTTTTGGTGGCGAGTAACTCTTAAGGCCTAGCTAGTAGCTCAGGACTTGAAATTTTAAGCCCTGCAATAACGGATAAGCTCATAGTAGGAGAGACAAAGGACACGAGAGACAGGACCTCATGGAGTTGATTTACTAAAACTGAAGAGTGTAAAATCTGGTGCAGCTCTGCATAGAAAGCAATCAGCATCCAGGTAATTTTGTAAAAGTTTAATTGAACAAGTTGAATTTAGAAGCTGATTGCCTACAATCCACAGGTGCACCAGATCTTGTACTCTCCAGTTTTAGTAAATCAATACCCATAAGTCTGCTGTGCTCTTTCACTGTCCAATCAAAGATTGGTGGCATGAGGTGACAAAGTTGCATTGCTTAACAATTGTTAAGAAAAGAAAATGAGGACATGAACCTTGCTGTGCTGTCTGGCAGGTTTTGTAAATTTCAGGACTGATTAAACAAAACTAAAAATGCTCTGGCTAGCAGCACAGTTCCATCGAATATGTTTAAAGTGATTGCAAAGTCAAGTTTCAAAATAACAGACGTTTATACCTACTTGCTCTGTGCAATGGTATTACAGAAAGCAGCTGCTTGCTTCCTCTTCTGGTTTCCACTTTCGGCACTCTCCATTCCTCCCCTTCTACATGTGCCCTCATAGGAAGCCGCTTGCTATGGGGTCACACAATCAAGCTCACTTCTGAGTTGGGCTATGTGTGTCCCACCCACAGTGTAGGTTGTCCCTGCCCCCCAATCCTTGGATATGATTGACTAAGCAAAGCCTGTGGAACCAGGAAGAGAGGGAGAGAAGATCTTCATTCAGGCACAGCGCTAGATCGATAAAGTACTCAGCTAAATGTTAGGGAGGAGGAGGGGGTAACAGGCAGTACACATTTTTTTTTACCTTAATGCAGAGAATGCATTAAGGTAAAACACCTTTAGTGTTTAGAACCACTTTAATTAGCAAAGCTAAAACGCCAGGATAAGAATCTTTCTTTTCAAAAAAGTGAGTTATTTGTGGCTGTGTCCAATGAAATCAGAACATTACGTTCCCATGGCTGAAAATAAAGAGTCTTATCCCTGTGTAAAGCTGCATGAGCCTTATGTATGTCAATTGTGCATTTAGCTATTTACCTGGAGTTGCTTTTACATCACTCTGGAAGGTTGTATTACCATAAGTGTTTTCAGGGATGTGGATAAGGGGGTGGGGGGGGGTCAGGGGGGTTCAAATCCCCCCCCCCAGAGCATCTTGTCAAAAATCAGCTGCATGGTGTCCCTGCTGTGCTACTTGTTGCTAGTGCCATTTGAGGCCGGCAGCAGAGCAGGGACACCATACAGTTCATTTCTGGACTGACCCCAGCGGCAGGCAGCAGAGACAGATGTTAATTGTCATAAGGGCGGCATGTGTGCACTACTGGGCTGCATTCAGAAGCAGGCACTTGACGCACACTCTCTACACAGTCACAGTGTACAGTACACACCTCCACTCCGGATTCTGGACCGGCACTGCCCACAGGGCGGTGTGTGCTGAGCCTGTCAGGCTTGGGTTGGGCCGTGGGCTGAGGGAGGAGGAAGCTGTCGGCTGACTCGGCTGAGTCTGGACTATGACACTCACAGTGAGTGATTCACTGCCTTCTCAGCCCCGTCCAAAGCAATAGGAGCACTTAGCAAAGCGGGAGCACCTATCCCACCCACCGCCGCTCTATTGCCATTGGCTCCTCCTTGCAGTTTTGGTTGCCTGTTGCCTTGCCAACAGAGCAGAAAGGGAGCATCTGCCCTGTCCACCATTCTGTAGTTATTTGATGCAGTTCTGCTTCCTGCCTTTGGCTTGGGGGGGGGAGATTTGCCTGGGTGCTCCACCACTGCAGAAACCTGCCCACCACGTGGATGAAGTCAGTCTAGACTCCAGGTATGTGTGTGTCCCTCTTGTGTTCTCCTCAAGGCCAGGCTAGCTTGCCACTGCTGTGTGCTGCTGGGGAGTTTCTTTCAGGGTCATGTGGAAAGAAACTGGCCAAGTTGGTGACTGAGGCTGGGAAGCTGGGTTGAGTCTTCCACTGCTGTTACGTTAGGCCCTGGCCCTTGGGCCTGTTCATATCCAGCAATTTGAGATCATGGGCAAAATTGTTGTGATTCTGCCCATGATTCCAAATCGCATTGCAATGCTGGAAATACGTAGCATACATGACGTTTTTTTGTGTTCCATTAACTTTTAGTGGCATCAAAATGTAGTGTGGTTTTGTTGAGATTGTTAAGCGATTTATCACACAACAAACACTCCAAAAGCACACTACGTTTTGAGGTGCCACTAAAAATGAATTGAACGCAAACACGTCACGTGTGCTGCGTTTTGCCAGTTCCAGCACTGCAGTGTGATTTGGAATCATGGGCAGAATCGCGGCAATTCCACACAGCACACAATCCCAATTCGCTAGATGTGAACAGGGCCTTAATGACAGTGACTGAGGCTAGGCTGAGTCTTCCAGTGCTGTTGCGTTAGGTCCTGGGCCAGTTCACATCTAGCGATTTGAGATCATGTGTGGAATCGCTGTGATTCTACCTGTGATTCCAAATCGCACTGCAATGCTGACAAAACGCAACACACGACATGTTTGTGTTTCATTCATTTTTAGTGGCACCAAAATGTAGTGTGATTTTGTTGTGATTGTTAAGTAATTTATCGCACAACAAACAGTCTAAAACCACTCCACGTTTCTGGTGCAACTAAAAATGAATGTAGTATGTCATGAGTGCGGTGTTTTCCCAGCTTTGCAGTGTGATTTAGAATTGTGGGCAGAATCACGGTGATTCCGCCCACAATCATAAATCACTATATGTGAAACCCCCCCAGAACAAAAAATGATATTTACGGTCCTGAGTGTTTTAAGCCTTTTAATAGCCAATAACAGAAATATGTTTCCATTTTAATAATAAATCTATTTTAGTACCACTAGAAAAAACATCCATTTTTTGACTCTGCCAGCATACATGTAACATCTTCATTGTACAGCACTGGAGTATGATCACACAGCTTCTAAATAGCCAACAAATATGTGTTCAACTTTCCGGGGAAAAAGCACTACTTGCTGCTGGAAAATGAGAGCGAGAATGCCTTTAGGCAACATTTGACAAAGAATTTTGAATCCCTTTAGTCAACTAAAATGTCCAAAGCAGTGAGTGTTAAAATACCCAAACATTTACATAAAACAAATAGATTTAGGATATGTAAACCAGCCTGTTATTATCTTGCTCTTCACTTTCCAGCATTAATCAAATTGTCAGTGCCATAGTTTACTGCCCTGGGCAATGCTTGGACAAACTCGGTAAGCAGATGGAAATTCTCTGGAGAGCATGTTAGCAATATTGCTTGCTGCAAGCTTGTGACTGAATATAAAAGATGGCATAGCATATCATTATCCATATTTATATATAGTAAGGTATACAGTAGTTTTTTTGCTGCATGGTGATGTAGCACTGTACCCAATGATATTTTTTTTTCTCAAAAATAGAAAATGTTTTCGCTTTCTGCTATAAAACATACTCAAGAAAATTTTTTTAAAAAATCTAATTTCTTCATAAATTTAGGCCAAAATGTATTCTACTATATGTCTTTTTTAAAAAAAAATCCCAATAAGTGTATATTGATTGGTTTGTGTGAAAGCTATAGCGTCTACAAACGATGATAGTATATACATTGGAATTGTTTTTTTTATACTGGTAATGGCAGCGATCAGCGACTTATAGTGGGACTGTGATAGTGTGGCAGGTAATCTGACACTAACTGACACTGGGTGGGAATTGACTAACTGACATCACTAGTGACACTAATATAGTGATCAGTGATAGTACTATACACACTGGCTGGAAAGGGGTT